CACCCTCTAAAAGGTGTAGCTAACAGTGAAGGTGTTAAATAACAGCAAAGATTCATGAAGTAAAATAATTAGTAAGAGAAGGAGAAACATGAGAAACAGTTTTATTAAACATTCTAACACATTTTCTTAACAAGTAATCAAAAAATAAATAAGGACATTGAGGATATGAACATATAATTTTTTTTTACCCTGAAAACAAATAGTATGCTTTCTTTTCAAGTTTCATAGACAGTGACAAAATTCAATCGATTCCAAGGTACAGAGAATAGTTTGGTAAATTTTTGAAAAGTAGAAATTCTACAAGCCAGTCTCTGACCAAAATGCAATACAATTAACAATAATATAAAACACACCACTCAGAAAATGAAAAACATAAATAGCATCTTAAATGACTCTCAAGACAAGAAATAAATCAAGAATAAAAGCCAAACAATTTAGGAAATAGTAAAAAAAAAAATACAGTCAAAGCTATCTGCAGAGGTAAAGTGTCAAAAGGAGAAAAATAAAACAAATGAATTAAGCATGCAAGTTGGGATTTTGGAAAAGAGTACAAAACAGCTCCCCCAAAATGGGAGAAAGGAAATTTTGAAATTGCAAACGGAACCAACATCCGGAAGCCAGAGAGCAGGAGCGATGTGACTTCCCGCCCATGACCTTGGTCCCCTGACGTGCTGCTCAGTTCTCCCGCGTCGCACGGCCCAGGCTCTGCCTGGTGGCCGCATCTACCAAGGCTCCAGCTGCCTCTGGCTCCTTCCTCGTAATCACCACATCCGGGCCTGCTGCGCCTGTGCTGTGGCACTCTGCATGTTGCTCCACGGTAAATTCTCGCCACTTGCCGCTCCCTTTTATGAGACTTGAAGTCTGCAAGGGGGAACCAAGTCCTCGCCGTATGCTCAGGGCCTGGGAGGTGCTGGGACTCGGTGGATGTCAGCTGAGTGGAAGAAGGAGCGGATGCTCCACACTGATTCCTGAGTTGCATCTAGCGGGTGTCAGGAGGCCTGGAATGAATGACCCTAACAACAAGAGGGCTAAGGAGGATGCGCCTGGTGGGGTGTTATGCCAGCAATAATGGTCATGTTGACGTTTATAAAATCTGAGGAAGATGTTTCTCTCATGAAATGGAAAATAGTCCTGTCTACCCCTGAAGGCCTGGTTCAAACAATGTATTTTTTAAAAAGATTTATTTTATTTATTTATACAAGAACTGGGTACAGTCAGAAGCGTGGGAAGGCAAAAGAATTCACCAGAGCCAGAGCGGGGAGCAGAGCAGGCAGAGGGACTGAGGCACACCGCTGAGGGGAGCAGCAGGTGGCAGGGGAGGTCTGCGCGCCATGTGGGACCCTCCTCTGGTGGCCGGGGAGCAGCCGGGGATCGAACCGGCGCTGCAGAGGCTGCGGGCAGCTTCCCAGCCCAGCACTCAACCGCTGCACCACCGGGGAGGCCCCAAATAATGTATTTTCCTCATTTCTCTAGTTGGAGAAATTCTTTTTCTTGGGCTTCCAGAGCATCTGCTCTTTGCCTGGTCTTTTACCGTGTCCGCCTCGGGTTATCGTCTCCACAAGGCTGTGCCGCCTCGAGGCAGATTGCCGGCCTCGGACCTTCCTCCAGACTAAACCCGTCTTCCCAACACAGGGCAAGGAAAGGACGACCTACAGATTTGGAAGGGTCATTGCCTGGGTGACAGAGACCACACCCAACACAAAGCACCCAGGGCAGAGGATCAAGATTCCCAAACCTCAGGGAACTCACACCTGCATTACCTGGGCTGAGACGTGCGGGTGTTTTGACCATGTTTGTGCCCAGGTGAACGAGGAGAGGGCATTCCAGGCACAGAGAGCCCTGGTGACAATTCCCAGTGGCCAGAAGCAAGTAGATTTACTTCAGAATCACAGAATTAGTACCAACTTGACCCTTCGAACCATCTTTACTCGGCTGTCAGAATAACCTTTCTCAAACTCGAGTCAAGCTCTGTCACTCAGTCCCTTCCTCAGACCCGTCCACGTTCCCCGAGCCCTCGCGTCGGGCCTGACAGCCCAGGCTCCATGTGAGCAGCTCCCCACTGAGCTCTCCATTGTCATCTCTGGTCACACCCCTAGAAGGGGACTTGCTCAGGATTCTCAGCCTGGACCCCATCTCTCCTCATTATATATTGTGTCCTGACAGCAATTCATCCAGGACCATGGGTCCAAAAGTCATCTACGTGTGGCAACTCCTGTATATCCTTCTGGTCTGGACTTCTCTTGTCAGTTCCCGACAAATACATCCAATTTTATCCAAGGTTTCTACTTGACAGCTTCACTTGGATGTCAGAGACATCACAAACACAGCTCTCTGAGATGCCCATCCCACCCAGACCCCTTCCTCTGCTTGTCCCCCGCATCAGCAAACCTTTGTACCTGCCCCACCACCCCAGTCACTCCTGACTTCTCCTCTGACCACTCACACAGACACTCCCCGCTAAGTTCTGCTGATTCTACCACCAAAGCTTCTCGAACATCCCTCCAGTTTCTCTAGCCTATATGTCAGCGTCTCAGTCTAAGCCACATGGGCCACACAAGAGCCTCCTGCCTGGTCTCCTGCCTCGTCCATGCCCCTCAGTGCATTCTCAGAGCTCGGGGTGGGCTTAAATGCAAACTGAATCACACCACTGCACTAAAGTTGGGGTAAAATCCAGGCTTCTAGTTTCAAGGGACTCCCACTGACCGAATGTGGGACAATTTGAGCCCCAAAATAAACAACAAAAGTATTGGAAAATAATAGAAATCCAAGAGTCCCTACTAACAAGTACATACATAAACGGGCAGGAAAGTGTGCCGTGAGGGAGTGCTGAGGTCGAAGCTAACCTCATGAGAAAGCTCGATTCAATGCAGTCAAGTCACAAGTAGGCGTTAAATCTCATATTTCACACTCTCTGGATAGGATACGTGCCCGACAGCGACGTATTTCCCTGACTGTTTATCGGGGAGGTCTGGGAAACAGTAAGAGCAGATGGGGGAAGCCAGACAAAATTAAATCAGGAGCAGACAGACCTCGTGGGCCTCTCGTCACACTGAGGACAGGATATCGCTGTTCCGTCTTCCAGCCAGGAACACGTGACCCGTATTTAGTAATGAAGAAACAGCAGGGCCTCCCCGGTGGCGCAGCGGTTGAGTACTGGGTTGCGAAGCTGCCCGCAGCCTCTGCAGCGCCGGTTCGATCCCCGGCTGCTCCCCGGCCACGGGAGGAGGGTCCCACATGGCGCGCAGACCTCTCCTGCCGCCTGCTGCTCCCCTCAGCAGTGTCCTTCGGTCCTTCTGCCTGCTCTGCTCCCCGCTCTGGCTCTGGTGAATTCTCTCACCCTCCCGCGCTTCTGACTGTACCCAGTGCTTGTATAAATAAATAAATAAATCTTAAAAAAAAAAAAGAAACAGCAGACGAACCAAATGAGGAACATTCTATTAAAGGGAAGCCCGCTTTCTCCCACCGCTTCCGTGCGGTAGACGACAAAGAGAGGCTCAGGAGGCCAGAGGAGCGGAGACCACAAGGACGGGACAATAATGCGACACCACTTCTCCGCTGGCTCCTGGACTGGAGGGAACCACGACGGAAAGGAGATGCCCGAGACAACGGAGCGGGCCGGGGCGGGTGGCTCCCGGGGTGTGGACAGCGGCTCGAGGCGGGAAACACGCACCCCGAGTCTGTGGGGGGAGCCACATGATGCGTGTGACTCGTTTCCAGCGAGGGCAGCGTGAGCGCGGGGAGCACACACCGCAGAGGGAATGCGAGTCATTTCAACAGGTGGATTTGGGGTAAAGGACAGACCCGTGTCCTGTGGGCTGGTCTCGCAGCTCTTCTCTAGCTTGGAACTCATTCAGCAAACAGAAAGGAAAATTCAGGCTCCTGCCCAGGACACAGGCAGCCGCCACCACCCGGGCCAGCCTCGAGCGCGCCCCCAGCACCCCGGGCTCCGTGGGCCCCGCCAGCACAGGCCGCCTGCTGCTTCCCGCCGCGCGCTCCTTCCCGCCGCTGGGCCGCCTCCGTGCGGGCCTCGGGTTACACTCACTGTGTCCGTCGGAGTCACTGTCTCAGAATGGCCCAACCCAAGACCTAGTTCTCCTTTCACAGCATGAGCTCTGCCTCCGCGATACGGTTTGTCAGTTCGTGTTCGGGGAAGGTGGCTTCGTGGCCGCCTCCTCCGCGCCACCCTGCACGCTTCAGGCTCAAAGGCCCCTCTGCCCGTGCTCGGCCAGCACGCTGCTGATCACTTCGCAGGCAGCTGATTTGGGGTGACTTCTGCTCTCCAAGCTGCTGGCAGCTCTCAGAGAACACAAGCGCAGTCTGTCTTGCCCCAAGGACGGGTTTAAGAGTGAAGTCTATGAAGGCTGCGTGGAGTCCCTGCTGCGGTCCCAGTATTTGAAACTCAGAGGCTGGGGGGAGGGGGGGAGCGCCCTAGAAGGACAGGCATGTTAAGGGAGAGACAAGGAATGCAGTGGGGAGACTGGGCCCTCGGAGAGGGGCATGTCAGTTGGCTGGTGCTGGTGCTCAGAGCAGCGTCTGGGTGAGAAGGAGAACCGGTCACCGAGGCTGTGGGCACAGGAAAGCTCGCTCACAGGCCTGTGTGAAAGGGGAGGGGCTGGAGGATGCAGACTTGAGGGTTAGAGGGAAAAATATCCCTGGAAGCAAAGAAACAGTGTCCAGAAAAGCAGCAGTAACAGGCCACTTGGCTGCTAAAACCCATCCATTTGTGTTTTCATCGTCCTGTTCAAGCTCAGCAATCCGACACTTGGCTAATTGAGGCAGCCTGGTGGAGGTTAAGGGCTTTGAATCCTGACCCCACATCATGTCTGTGTGACCTTGGGCGGCAGACTTGACTTTCCCAGGCCGCAAGCCCTCATCTGCAGAACAGTCGTGCTGTAGTTATGTGGCTGCTGGCAGGATGACATGAGCTCATCTTGGGAAAGCCCTTTGATCCTTGTTTGGTCTACGGGACCAGGAATGAATGAGCAGAGAATGTACGAGCACAGCAGGAGCAGGAAGCACTGGTTCCTGCTAAGAAGTTTCCTAAAATCAGCCAACAACAGAACTTGAGACAAGCGTCAAAGAGCCGCCTCCACCTTCTATTACATGTCTCCTTCCCTGCCCCGGCCCCTATTTAAAAAGCATACGGTGTGCAGGTTCCATTGAACACTGTCCTTTCTCCAGAGCTTCCTCCTGAAAACTGACTTTCTTCCTGCACCCCAAGTGTGCCCCCAAGTCAGAGGATGCTGGATTTGCCTGCTTGATTGCAAATAAACCCTGTTTTCCAGGAAACCTGGGAGACATCTCAACACAGCTCTGCTCTGTGAATCTAAGGACGAAGCCTCAGGCGACTTGCGCAGAGATACCACTACTATCTGACCATCCCCTCTCTAATGAAAAGAGAGGTGTGTGGATGCCATTTCCCGGCCGTAGAAAGCGCTTCCACAACACAGTCTCCCTCTCATCCTCTCAAATGCCCTGGGAGGTAGATACAGCAGATAACAACACTGGTCCGCATTTATCAAGCATTTACAACTGCCACGCTCTGTAGGAAGTATTTTCATATGTGAGCTCACTTAAACTCACAACATCCTATGAAATGGGCTCAGCTTTTCCATTTTATAGAAGAGATAATGGGGCTCAAAGGAGTTAGAACTTGCCCCAAATCAAAGAGGTAGTAAGTAATGGATCTGAACCTTCATCTGACCCAAAAGTCATACTTTTAACCCTCTATAATACTGCCTCACAAAGCAAGTATGTTACTTGTCAGGCCTCATTCTACCCATTAAATTGAAGCTCAGAGAGGTAAAGTGACTTGTCTAAGGTCTCACAGCCAGGAACTGGCAGAGCTTGGATCCATACCTGGTCCTCCTGGCTCATGAACCTTCAGTGGCTGGGCTGGATGATGTGCTAAGTAGCCATTTCTGCAGTCTACTTGCCTGGCTGGTCCTGCTCAGCCCAGAAAACTAAATCTATATAGGAAGTCCTTCCCTGACACTTTTGGGGCATTCGTTTTTCTGAATCTCAAGAATAATCAGTCAAGAAATTGGGAAAATGGGGAAAGTCTCCTGAGAGACGTATTGCTTAACAATCAAACAGGAGCCATCCTGGGTTGAAGGAATCAAGTAGCATAAAGTAGAAAGCGGGAGAAGGAAATGCTGACACAGGGGACCTAAGGTTAAGGCAGACATTCTGGAACTTGGGATGGGAGTGCAGAGGAGTGATTCACTGCGGTGACAGTGAATCACTTTCACAAATACACTACTAATCGGTCTATGAATGATGTTCTATGAATATTCTATGAATGATGTTCCAAGAAATTATAAGTTTTGGAAACAAATCCTTAAATTGTCATTTTCAGCCCATGATTACATATCGTGCAGTTACTCTTGTTGAATTAGGAGGCCTGATTCCAGAGGAACTGGATGAACTTCCCAAGCAACCCAGTGAAGTCACTTCAGGAGCCCATGGGCTGAGCCTGAAGGATTGGCCTTAGCATGAAATTTCTGAGTCAAGTTTCATCTCATTCACTGGTGCAAATATTAATTTTCATTCAGGGAGAATCCGCTCACTTTAGTATAAAAACTGTTTTATATAATCATGACTGAGGAAAGTGGCCACTCCATAAAGGATGCCTGTCCTGGGCGCACCCTGACTCGTGTGCCGTGGGAGAAGCGGTGCAGTAGGGTGGGTTGGGGAGTCAAGCAGGGAGATATGGGCCTGAATGCTGGTTCTGCCACAAAGACCAGCTGTGTGACTTTGGGCAGGTCCCTTCACCTCTCTGAGACTTTGTTTCTCCATCTGTAAAAACGTTGATAATGAGAGCATCAATGTCATAGGGATGTTGTGAGGATTAAATGAGATAATTTTCATAAATCACAATGCCTGGCACAGAATGAGCCCCCGGTAAATGGAAGACTATTTCTTCCTAGTATGACCACCAAGAGCAGTGGAAGCCAAGAGCTTTGTGAGAGCCCTTGGATCGCTTCAAAGGGTAGGTTGGCCTTTGGCCTCCTCCTGGTGGGGATTTTCCAGGACTGTGGGAGCCAGCTCAGGGCTGCACCAGAAGCTCCTGGGCCTCCCCACTGCTCAAGCTGCCCTCCCCACTCCGACGGGGCTCTTGGCTGGAAGGCCTGTTATTCATGTGGGTTCCCAGGAGACTGGCAAGTTGGGCACCCAGCTCAAATAAGCCCTTATAGCCAATGGCGCTGGGGTAACCCCAGGGTGAGGAGGAAGTGGAGGGTGAGGGGGAAGGTAGGGTGGTGCTTTGGCGCCCAGCGGCCCTTCAGGCGCATCCTGGTGCCATGGGAGGCTGGAGGTGGGAAGCCAGGTGGATGCCCTGGAGGGCCAGGCTCTGGGATAGAAGGGGCAGGAGGCAGGCACGCCTGGGGCCGCTGGCAGGAGAGCAAGGCTGGTGCCTGGTGCCGGAAGAGGTGGGCACATTGCCCACTCCTCACTCCAGGAGGGCCTCTGGCATTGAAGCGTCCTCAGGTGCTGGAAGTGGGCCGAGTTGTGTCTGAAGCCTGTCCCACATTTAGGGTGCCAGTGGGCCTGTTGGCTGTGCGGGAGTTGGCAGGATGGGTGCCGTGATCTTCAGTACAGTGCAGGCTTGCCCTCGAAGTTCCTACGTAGGTGAGCCAGGAAGCCCGTTCCACCCTTCGGGCTCAGGTGTGAATCTGGATCGTGGTGTGGCCAAGGGGGACCTAAGGGCCCCACCTTGCCTGGGGAGCCAGCTCACCTCCCCTTCCCCTGGGGGATCGTTCTGGGTGCCCTTGGGGTCTTGCTCCCTCCCCCGGGTGCTCTGGTATCTGGGAGCATCGTGGGTCGGGAATTTGTCCGGAGGCCCCTCCTGGGAAGGAGCCTTCTGAGGGGCTCTGTCTTCAGGCCTTTGTCGTGGAGGGCTCTCCTTGTCATTCTCACTCCTGAATCCTGCAGGGAGAAAAGATTCTGGGTAGTGTTTTCTCATCTCCTCACCTTACCCAAGACCATGCCTGGGGAATCCTAAAAATAGCACCACTTGGTGGCCAAGTCTTTGCACAGGACCGAGTTCTGCATTTCTGACAGCAGGCCAGGTTGAGGTGGGGCCTGTGGGAAGCCAAGAGGCCTGCCTTTCTGAAATCTGAGAGACCAGGGCAGCTCTCACACTTACTTGCACTGTGATTTCACACAAATTACGTAACTTCTGCTGTCTCAGCTTGTTCAGCTGTTAGTGGGAGTCAGGATAAAAAAGCCTCAGAGGACTGTGGGTTTGCCCAGGGGATCCTCCCACCATCAGGATGGAAGGACACAGCAGTGATATATTGGATAGTCCATGTCAACCTGGACCTTAAAGAAAAAACCCTTTAACGCTGTCACTACCTAGTGAGTTCCAGGCCCCGCTACTGGGGGTACAGGCCAGAGGTACGGGGGGCAAGGGGGGAGGTTTGAGCGGTGAGAGGATTCACCAGAGACAGAGTGGGGAGCAGAACAGGCAGATCTACTGAAATACACTGCTTTTCACCTCCATATACTTTTAGTGTGTGTTTGAAATTCTCCATAAGAAAAACTTTCCTTTAAAGTCTGGGGGGTGGGGTGGTAACAAACCCGCAAGGAATAAGAAAAGCTTAACCATGAGCAGGTGCTAAGGCTAATGATCACAGCTCAGTTTTGGATCTTTAGAACTAGGCAACCTGATCCAAGGTCTCTGGCAAGAACCTCCAACCTCAGCTTATTCTGAGACAGTTTCTTTTTCTTTTGGGTCTATTAGGGTTACAAAAATTCTAGGAAGGTATAAAAATAAAAACTGGTAGAATTACTGAAACCCTAGAAAAGTGTAAAAATTGGAACCACAGGAAGGTGCTGGAATAAGGATAAGAAAAAAAACTAAATCCATGGTTTTTGCACATTTATAACCAGTTTTGATGGCGAGGTTTTAATAAGTTCTGTAACTGCCTTCTTTGTGTATGCTTCAAGTGTGTGACGTCGTCAAAAGAATCAGTCGTGTTGAATATGTATTTGCAGTTTACATTATTCAAGATAATTTAATTGCTTAGATTCCTAATGAAAGCCTAAGTCCCCTATGTAAAGGGGACTTTCAAGTTTTATCATTTTTGTTCAACAGAGTTGTGGGGTAAATGAAGTTAAAAATCGGGCTTTTTCCCCCATCCCACCTGCCACTAGCATGGATGCCTGGGCCAAGGGGTGTGGGCATGGGTGCGGGGCATGCGCACCTTTAATTGTGACCACCTGGGCCCAAAAGAGCACGGTGTGCGCATGTGTAAACACTCAGTTTGTTCCTGGAGGGGCAGGATAAAGGCAGCCCCAGCAGCACGGCCAGAGGACCACTCTGAGGCGAGACCACGAGACTGAGAACACCAGAGAGAGCCCAGAGAAAGTGAAGATTTCTGGAGGCCTGGGGGTGCTCGGTTGCCTTACCTGTCAGCTTCCCTGCCCAGCCCATGCCTGCCTCCCTGCATGCCAAGCTCCTTGCCTGCTGTGCCTGTGTACCTGTTTCCCTGAGAACATTATAGGCCTGTAAAAATCCATGTAGGCCTCCAAGATTCCTTTTTCCATCTATCTGAATCCACAGTGAACCTGCCCTGTGCATGCTTGCACTAGAAGGGTCTAATAAATGGAACATTAAACAGTTCAGAAGGTGGTGAACACTCATTTCTAGTCCATAAGCCTCTCACATATATATAATAGTCTTCCAGGGACTTCTGACTTCACTTTAAATGAGAGACAGGTAACACATGGCCGAGGCCTGCACCACAGCTTTTCAGAGTGGTTCAGACGAGCTCAGGTACTGGCCGGGGAAGAGGTGGTGGCAGGAGCAGACATCAGGAAGGCAGAGCTGAGCAAGGAGCGCCCATGGCTTGCACAGCCTGACTGACCGGGTAAGCCATCAATCATGGAACAACAGGGACACCAGGCCCTGGAGACACCACAGCAAATAAACCAGGGCCTGCCGTGTTCTTCCTTCCAACCCCCACGGGTCACCCTTCTCCTTCAGCCACAAACAACTTCCTGCCACACTTTCCTCTTCACGCCATTCCCATGAATGACATTCCAGGCCTGACCTCTTTCCTGTCCCATGCTGGATCATTGGTCTCACCACAGAGAAGCCCTGGCTTCCACTCAAGAGGCACAAGGCAAAGATCCCGATCCAGGGCATAGGCACACAGCTAATCTGCACAAAAGTGGTTAGGGGTGTGGGCTTTGGATGAAATGGCCTAGATTTGAATCCTTCCTTTTATCCGTGACCCTGGGCAAGTAATATAACATCATCTGGTCTCACTTTTCTTGTCTACCTAAGAAGAATAAAAATCCCTATTTGACAGTGTTCCTGTGAGAATTAAATGAGATGTCTACCTGCACAGGTAACGTCCATGTATATAAATAAAGGTACTGAGTAACATTAGTGGCTGCTACTGTTACCCTAATATTGCTGTTACTTAGGGTTTGCTTTCTAGAAGGCCTTGGATATTTGCTTATGGATATAACCACACATATGAGATCAGACCAATGTTTTTTTCTAAGTATTAACTCACCCTCCTTTTCAAGCCAAGAGACGGTCATTTTTAGTTCACATTTCCTCCAAATCAACAACAGGTAAAAATAAACCAATGAAAATGTCAGAAGAGATCTGGGAAGAAACGTCTCCATTGACAGCAGCTAGTGTGGGCAAGTAGCTGGAATGCAGAGGGTGTATCTGATCCCAGTGGGCTCAGGGTCACTGCTCACAGTCGTGCAAGGAGAGCACCAAAGACTCTCCGGGAACAGAGCGCTATGTTGTTGTTACAACAAACTTCCAGCAGGTGGCAGCAAATTGCTTTAAGGAAAGGGCACTTTTTCTAGTTCACACAAGTTGCTGACGATTTGTGAATGGGCTGAGGAGTTGACTGTGGTCTTTCCAGAGAGCAGGTACCATGCTTTCTTATTTTTTGTGCCCTGAAGATTCCCGTCCCCTGGTTATTCAGGCAAACAATATCTAGGTACAGATGTGAAGGGATTTTGCAGATGTGATTCAAGTGCCAAGTCAGTTGGTGTTAAGAGATTATCACCCAATCAGGTAGCAGAGTTTTCTCCAGGTGATAGCAGAAGTCAGAGATTTGAAGGACAAAAGCAATTGGAAGCCCATTGCTGACTTGAAACCGAAAGGAGTCACGTGATGTGGAACTTGCTGGCTTCTGAAGTGCCCCCAGCTGACAGCCAGTGAGGAAAGGAGAGGCAGGCCTATACTGCAAGGAGCAGTTTGGCCAACAATCTGACCTCACTTGGAAGTGGATTCTTTCCCAGAGCCTCTAGATAGGATCCCAGCCCAGCCAACACTTTGACTTTGGCTTCGTGAGACTGCACTGAGGACCCGGCCAAATCCATGGAATCTGACCTACAGAACTGTGAAATAATAAGCGGGTATTGTTTTAAGCTGCTGCATCTGTGGTCATTTGTTATGCAGCAATAGAAAACGAATACACTTGGCTTTATGAAAGAGCTCAGCTGGAGAGAATGTGAGCATCCCGTCAGGAATGTTGATTTTCTTTGGAAAGATAATGAAATCTGGGACCACAGCAGCAACTGGAATCATCACCTGAGGAAGTTCCAATGGTCCACAGCTATTCTCCAAGATCCATTTGATTTCTGCGCAGGCCAGACTGGTGAGTTGAATGGGGAGTGATCGACCTCACTACTCCAGTTTTTTCATCTCTGACTCTGGCCTGAATGCGTTGTCGCCAAGGGATGTAGTACTTTTACTGGTTTGTTTTCTTTGTAGGGAGGGTAAGTTCTGGAGGCTTCACTTAACCCTGCCTACAGGCCAGCCTATGAGTCAGAGAACTCATTGCCTATGGGTGACCTCCAACCTATGGGTAAGAGAACTATTTGGGGAACCACTGTTCATTTTTAATTTATTGCCTCTCAGCTCCAAATTCACCCTCTGTGTCTGCTCTGAAATGCAGGTCTCCTTGTACGGAGCATGATATTAAGCTTTGTCAGTAGAGGGCGCTAGAAGGCCACTGAATAAGGAAGTGACCACTCTTCCTGGTTCAAAGGTCCTGTTCAGGTTTCATTTTTCTTGCTCTTGCTTCAGTTTTGCAGGGACACATGACTGTGGGTCCTGTGTCTTAGCTGTGTGTCCAGAATGAGGAGTCCGTTGGGCAGATCACAGCCCCCAGCATGCAACCACTTTGCTGCACCCCTTCTCTGCTGTGACAACATAATTTCCAGACCATACAATGTCTTTGCAGTGAGTGGACTCCTGAATGTCCTTTGCACACTCAACCACCAGTCTTGACCCTCGCATGGCTTTTATTAGCACTGAACTCCTGCCCAGCGAGCTCGCTCCAGCACTGGATTTTGGTAGCTGCCTGGTTTGTGCTCTTGCCAAGTGCACTTTCTGTTTGACTTCTCCAACGGCACAGCTTGCTGCAGCACTTGACCCCTGTATTGGTGCAGCTTGCTCCATCACCATTCGCTGAACACACGTACTTCAGTGCTTGATTCCTGCACTGGCAGGGCTTTCCCGGGCAGCATTTGATCCCTCACTGGTAATTTGATCCCTCACAGCCACCAGCACCCAGCTCCTACAGAGTACCCTTGCTACCATTCTTGGCTTCAGGAGTGCTCAGTGATTAGCAGCTTCACCTGACATCCCAGCGGGTGCATTTCCAGGAAACCCCCTGGCTGTGGTTGTTAGTGACCACTCTATCATGTCCATTCAAATGAGGGCCCTCAGCCCTGGTGGGACAGGACTCTTTCTGGGGCACTCTGTTTCATGCCCCAGTAGGTGCTGGTAGTTGATCTCAGTATCTACTACTTCTATAGTCTTTAGCTTCCCATTAGCCAGTTCCTATTATTCCAATCCCCTATTAAATATCTCTTTATTGTTACACTTTCCCATTGTGGCTTCTCCTGATTGGACCTTGACTGACGTGGCAATTGTTATAGGGAGT